TCTCAAGTTAATAAAATATCTAACACGCAAAATCTAACACGACATATTATCTAATAGCAACCATATAATATATGCGCATAGTAAATTTTCTGGTTATTTTTTTTTTAAGTGCGCGGACGATACAAGAGAGACTCTAATACATACTTCGTTCAAGACATTAATCGTTTTCCGAGTATGTGTCATGGTCGCTCTTGTAATTACTCTAAAAGGAGCCCGTCAAGGCGCGCAGCTAAGAACCGAGTCCTCGTCTCACACAAAACATCTCTTTCTCATTCGTAATATTATTAATGATTAAATATCCCGGAAAATCCTCGAGCTAAGTCATCGTGACCAAACACGATCTAAATCGATTGCTCGATCGATCGACATTTCAAGATCACCGGATGTTTCATCACGCTAACTAAGTGTATCGACATCGATATAATAATTTTAAATTAAAATATAAAATGCAGGAACATACTATTTCTACATCGTTAAGTATTATTTCTAAATACTATTTCACATATTTTATACGTAAGTATTTTCACTTTTATGTTTTCTGAAAGTAAAGTATCGTTTTTTCTTTCTTTTAATCTAATTAAAACCATTTCGTGATTATAAAACTCATACCTATGCAAAAACCAATTATTATGTTTGTAATAAGTTTCGAATATTCGTTCCACTTTCTAACAATAATGAAATTTATCGTATGCAGAAATGCTATATACAAAATGTTCCGTTTTAAATAATGCATTGTTATATTTTTGGAAATCAAGGCTTCCATCAAAAAATATTTCAAAAATTGTAGAATTTCGTTGTCGAATTTTTTATCGTAAGCCTATAGTCTTATTTTAAGTACAGGCATTTCTGAGATTTCGAGATTATTTTTTTAAACAAAATCATATAATTTTCTTACATAAATCAATTCCTCATAATATTTAATAAAAAAAATGTTAAATAGTCAAAAAATGAATGATTTACAAGATATATTTTATGCTTTATTTTGTCACATTTTAACAAAAAATATAAAATATTTCCTATAATAACTAATATATTCATTTTTCGATAATCTTAATAATTTTCGGCATGGAATAATGAGATAAATTAATTTGTATAAAAACATTAGTTGTTTTTAAAAAAGTATCCAGTTGCATCCATAGTGCAAATTGCACATTTTTTTAAGTTAGAAGATATAAAGATGTTTTTCACTGATTATGTGATTATCTCATTCTATGCAGAAAATTATTAAGATATAAGATTATTGAAAAATAAATATATTATGAAATTTTTTTTTGTTAAAATGTGTTAAAATTAAGCATAAAATATCTCGTTTTTCAACTATTCAATTTTAACAATTTTTTATATCAAATATACAAGAAATCGATTTATAATATGATAGTTTCAACAAGACGCCCCTCTCAATCGCAATTTTTGTATGTAACATTTTTCGATGGAAACCTTGGTTTCCTAAAATAACAATGAATTATTGAATGGAACACTCTGAACATGCGGAGTTACTTTACGAGGAAAAAAGGGTCGTAAGGATATTTAAATGAGAAATTTAATGCGTGCGGTCCATATATATTTTCGTGAACATTTCATGCGGAGGAGAGACGGTAGTAGAAATCGGAACATGTAAAACGCCCGAGAAATTCACGGCTGCTAATTGCACAGCGTTGCACGCGCGCGTTGCATAGCTCGTCTTAATGCACGTTTGATAATTGCATCGCTTGTTACGTGGAGAGCACACGCTCCCGCTCGGCGTTGAGAAAAGGAGGCTCTCCAACGACACGCCTTAAATTAGGCGCTTAGTTTCCAGTACATTAATCGACGGAAACGATCGAGACGAGATCGAGCACGCGCGGACGCGAGATCAAATCGCTTTTCTTATCCTGGTGCAAGAGAACTGGGCTATATAAACGTCGATGCATTTACTTTCGGAACGATCGCTCGCGGGATTCTGCGAGAGGAATTTTTTTTACTGTGACTTTGAAAATAAGTAACGAAGGCGGCATAAATGAAGCACAAACACGCAATAAGGTGGCCTTGCTTACGAGAAACTGAAATTACGCATCAGCGTTCTTACAAGTGTGTCGCCACGAGCTAGTTTTGTATTATAGGCTAATACTTTCATTTAATTATTTTTATGAAAATCTTTATACGGAATAATAAATATATAAATATCGCAGCTTTGCTTTGGCAACCTTTTTTGCCGAATATATTCTATCGCCGACACATTTTTCTCTATAACAAGTCGAGAACTAACGAGACCTTTTTGGACATGAGCCAAAACGTAATCCATAAGGAGGTCGCTAGCGTACTCACATATCAATTGTTCATTAGCACGGATTTGTGCAGGTTGCCAAAATTAACGGTATAAAAGAAACATTGCTTTAAAATCGTGTAGAATTAAATATATGCGGAAGCAAGAATTTGTAAACGAAAAACAGCGTAAATTGGTGAATACCTATGTAATGATAACTAAGAAATTTTAAATATGCCATAGAATTAAAATTTATAAGATATATATATATATATAAAAGAAAAATATATATTTTCTAATCCATATATTCTTATAATTCTATTATCTTTCTAATCTTGTATATATTACAAATATATATTTAAGATTTAAAGAATATTTATGAGAAATTATTTTTCTCTATCATTTTCTTATTCTTTAAAAATCTTGAATATACAGTGTGTGCAGTAATAATTGTCCCACCCATAATGCTCAGATAAAACAGATTAAATCGAGTAGGAAAGTCCTGTATATCATTTTGCGATCTTCGCAATAATTAATGAGAAATTAATTAAAAAGGCATCAATCAAGGCTTGTGCTCCCTCGGATTGGCCAATCTTTTTCAATTAATTTCTCATAGAGGATAGAGGATTTTCTTACTCCATTTAATCCGGCCTATACAATATATATAGAAAGAAAGATAACTCCTTTGTGTTTGATAAATATAAAGTATCTTTGGCATTAAAAATAATAAAATGATCAAACAACATTTCTTAAGAGAAAAGCACAATTGACATATAGATAATACACATTCGATTTAATCCAGACTTAAAAATCGAGTGATAAATTATGGATTGCGAAACATAGATATGAGGAAATGTCTTTCGTACGAGGTGCGGGTCAATAAACGAAGCCATATTAATAGATGGATCGATATACAGTTCCTTGAAAAGTGAGGCGATCGCGTAAAATCTTCGTGTAAGAAAAGATAATAATTACACTTAAGCTCTCGAGATTTCGCACGTGATTAAAGGGGCGATTAAGGTGCGCGTTACCGCGATTCTATCGGTTCGCCGAGATGGGAATTAAAGGGAGTAAAGGAGGAAGTGAACCGCGTTCGATGGTCCGCATCCGTAGCCGCGACGTTTTATCGTGCAATAAATAAGCTCCGTGGCACAGGAAACGAACGCCATATTCGTCGCAGCGTCACAGCTCGGGAATAGCTTTACTGCTGCCAAGCGGACAAGCCCTCTACAATAATACGTCTCTCGCAAATACACGCAACGAAGAATTCCTTTGACGTTCACCCACAAACGACGAACGTTGAATAAAAAGATCTCACTTCCTACAGAACCTTTTTTCTATTATAGATCTTAAATTCCCTTTCATGACATTTCAATCCAATGCAGAATATGTATAAGATGTCCTCTATATATAAAATAGGGTAGGTATAGATTTATATTAGATCATATTTCTTATGTCAAACAATAAGCATTTTTCATCTTTAGTAAAAATTTGTATTATTTCGAGATGTATCGTTTTTTAATATGCCAATACAGTGCATTTGTTGTCTTTTGATTCTTTGTATTAAAAATTGTACACTGAAAGAAAGTTGTTAACTTGACTAATTCGTTCCACTAAATATTATTTTGTTAATTGACCACATAGAAATATTTAAATTAAATATAACATATCAAATCTAACAAAACGGAAATTTGACTTAAATACTAATATATGTTCACAGAGAGAATTTTCTCTTAGAATTTATCCTGAAAATCATGGTAATCGTGGGACAATATGATATTATATTGGAGAATTTTATAAGAGTTTCTCTATAATTAATATTTATCTGTAAAAATATTAATATCTATCATAATAAGAAGTAAAATTTACTATGTACATATTAATATTTTTTGTTGTAAATATTAATCAGAAAAATTCTTCTAATACCATATTGTCCCACGATTATCATGATTTTCAGGGTAAATTCAAAGAGAAAATTCTCTCCATGTTCCATTAACAAAATATTAATTTAGTTGAATGGTTTAGTCAAGATAACAATTTTTTCAGTGTAGTAAAAATTAATAAATAAATTCCCTCCTATGACACTTAATCTTAATGCAGAAAGAGAGTATATGGTGTGTCCTATACATACATTTAAATAGAGTATTAAATATTAAATCGTATTTCTTATATCAAAAGATAAACATATATTTTCTTTGGGACAAGTTTGTATTATTTTCGAAATATAAGTTGACACTCTGGACAAATAAGAGATGGACAAAAAGAAAAGGACTCATCTGATGGACGTCGTAAGAATCGGAGAATCATCTCATCACATGAGATTTTAATAAAAATAATGTAGATGTAATAATAGATAAAAAATCAAAAATATTGCAATGATACATTAGACGTATGTTCTTTAAATAAGAGTAAAATCATCAGACAATTTTCCAATTTTTTAGAAAAATTGTCCGAGTGTCTCAATAAAATTCCCGTAAAGAGTCGGATATCATCTCATTACATGAGACTTTAATAAAAAATTTCAATATAATAAATAATAATTTTAAAATCTTACAAAACGAGATACATTGGACATGTTTTTTAAATAAGATAAAAATTGAAACAAGATCAAAGACATCATTTTTGGGGAAAATTGCCCGAGTGTCTCGTGAAAATTTCTGGGATTTTTAATAGGCAACAAAAATCCCTATGTTTGATTTTCTCAAGGTTTTCCAGGGAAGTGGACAAATAAGATGCGAACAAGAAGAGAAGGACTCACCTTGCGGGAGTCGTAGGAGTCGAAGTGCTCGGAATCGCCCCCGCTGGACTGCTGGTCGGCTGTTGCCGCTGCCGCCGCGGCACCGGTCGTTGTTCCAGCGGAGGAGGCTGCGGCAGGAGGCCATCGTCGATCGTCTGCACTCGCGCCGCGATCCATCGTCGCGCCGTAGAACACATGGACGGCGCTCGTACCGTCGACGGACGCGTCGTCGTTGGCGACGCCGTTGCACGCGGGCTCGTGTTGTTGTTGTTGTTGTTGTTCCTCGTCGTCTTTTGCCGCCGTCGTCGGTGATGATGGCAGCGGCGAGGTGGTCTTGCTGCCCTTAGCGAAGAACCGTGAGATCGTGTTCCACATTCAATGGGATGATGGGGATGATGGGGCTGACATCCGCGGCTTCAATCAAAGACGACGACCGATCGAGACGACTCCCTGTCCTCGTCATAGCCAAGACGATCTCACGGAAGGATCTTTTCTCTACTTCGCTGTTTGTTTTTCCTTTCTTCTTCTTCTTCTGTCGGAGAAAAATCCCCGGGTCTCTTCCTCCGCACTTTTTCTGTACTCTCGTGCTTTTCACTCGTCGTTTTATTATTCCTTACTTAGAATGTTTCACTTCCTCTCTCCCTTCGGTTTATCCTTGCGAGCACACACGCACATACACATTGTATCAACCAAATTCTCGCCGTCTTCTGTAATGATACGAACAAGATGCGATAGAGAGGATACACTGAGGAGCTCGTGTTCGCGAATTTTTTTTTTTATTCCCACGTGGGCGGTATCTGTCACGCGACTTTTAACGAATCATTTAACCCTCTTAAAATCAAATGTCATTAATTAGTTTTCTTTTTCCTGTTAGTTTTTACATGATTAAAATTGCTATTGGATTTGAGTTTAAGAGACGAAGACACATGTCATATAAGGAACTTTGTGTATTTTCGACGAGTAAATATGACGCACAGAATATAAATGGTAAAGTTAAATTTATTTTAATAGCAGAGGTTCTGGAAGAGAACCAGAGTTGGTATTCCTTTCAAGATATTCGTCTGATGGTCTGGTAAATGTAAATATTATGAATTTCAATCACGATGACTCATTAATAAATTTGACAATTATACTGACAGAACAGACGACTAGACACGTCATATAATTTGTCATTTCTTAACTATTATGTTCAAGCCAAAAATTTCATTTCTCCATATAAATTCTTAGGTCAATTAATATTAAACTCAATTATAATATTTATTTAATATAATTGAATAATATATTGATTATATTTAATACTGATATGATTAAAATATTAATAAATATATACAAATCTATTTCCTAGAAAACTGTCATATGAATATACACATGAAATTGACTATATTAACAACGTCACAAATATTTCACATATATAAAATCCGACCAAATTTGCAATGTCCAGAATACATAATATTAAAATTCATAAAAATTTCAGATTTAAGTGACATTAATATTAAACATTGATTCTTCCCAGCCACGTGTATAAAAAATTTTGTGTAGTTAAATATATTAGATAACCTCGAGAAGGGGGAACGCGTTTAAATTAGATAACCTCAAAAGAGAATCGCGAAGGAAAGAAAACACACCTGGACATCCTATAAATCCAGGTCGATCAAAGATCCAAAATAGAACGGAATCTATCCAAAATTTCGCACTCTTGCAGTCTCGATCCTATAAACGGACTCGCTCGATCTCTCGCGGTAAACGACGTTCCAGGAAAGTTCCGCTGTCAAAGCTACCGGCGACGCGAAACGTTCTCGATCGAACATACCCTCCCCCCCCCCAACCCACCCCTCTTTAACCCAGCCGTTCCGTCTCGCGAAACTTGTCAGCGCGAAATAATGCCGGGCAAAACGCGGCCAAAAGACACCATCGAGAAAGAGAGGAATAGAGAAAAAGAAAGAGAGAGAGAGAACTCGCTATTTTGGTCGGTAAGCTTGTCCTCTCTCTCTTTCTCACGCACTCGCTCTCTCTCCCTTCCTCGAAAGAGCCACGACGAGTATCGATCCTCTCACGAGGAACAACCGGACGACGACGGGAGCGGCAGGAAACGAAGTCGACGTCCTCGGGGAACAAGGATCTCTTTCTCTCTACATGTGCGCGTGAACGAAAATTCTCTATGTATATATATATACGGTGTCCGGGAATAAGAGATCGAGGTGGAAACCCGAGGAACGCGTGTAAGCGAATACGAGTACCCTAGAGTACCATCGTCGAAGAGGCCATACCTATCTCTCTCTCTCGCGTCTTCCTACTGCTCTCTCGAGATCGACTCGGTCCTCTCTCTCTCTCTCTCCTTCGATCTCTCTCTCTCTCTCTCACGCTCAAGAGAGACCCGGAGGTCTCGCGACCCGAAGCTCCTCGAACGTATCCGCTCGTTTTGACAGCTTCCTGGCCTCGAGGTCCCGCGAGGCGAACACTAGGACGAGGATATCCGTCGAGGGTTTCGCGCACGACACGATGCCCGATTAAACTCTGCACTGTATCTTCCTCCGTCTCTCTCCCTCGCACGATCGCGCCCGACTTCACTCCGCTCGTCGGTCGAGGGGTCTCTTCGTCGCGAGTCGCGAGGCGCGTTGACAGGATACTCGCGAGCTCCGCCGAGTAAACACACGCGCGACAAACAACCTCTCTCCCTCTCAACGCGGAGATACGTCCGTTCGCAGGCAGCAGTACGCCGCACGCAGCACTTCGCCGTCCATCGCGATACGCGAGAACGAGAGGGTCGGTTGCCGCGAGACGAGTGATCGAGAGCTCGACCGGGCGCGAGATATCGAGTCGACCCGCGAGGCGCATGCGCGTTGACCGCGCGCCAATTTTCAAACGAGCTTACTGGGAGTCTCTTGATTTTTGTGGAATATTTCGTTGCGAATTATCTGCATTGATTTTATTTTATAGATTTCGGTGATGTTAATGTTTTGTGTCTGTAGATATGATTTGTTTTATTTATGTGTCGTACATATGTGTATTTTTATGTTTATGTATATGTTATATTCTTTGAAAAGAGAGGACAGAAAAATATTATATTCAGTAAGCAAAAAAGCTTTTTTATGAACAAACTTTGACATCGATTTAGAGGTTTCGGTAATGTTGAAATTAACGTTTGAGAGCAATATGTTATTAAATGATATTTCTAAAACATTTATAAAACATCACAATTAACTTTTTTTTTTAATATTTATTATTAATATTTTAAACATATTTATAAAACATTATATCGTAACGTTTAGAAAATTTATATAAAATCAATATTTTAAAATGTTGATCAAATATTTCTTGCTTACTGGGTACAATATACATATAATATATAATATTATTTTGAAATATAAATATATATATAAATATAAAAATATAAATGTAAAAAAATAAAAAATACAGTCTAAATCCTTTATGCAAAATTATAATACAACTTCTTTGAATATATAATATATATACCTATATAAAAACATTCTTTTGTGTGCTTACAAATTAGAAATTCAAATTATGATAGTCAAGTTTTGAATAAGTGTGCCGCGGTTAAAATGTCATTATAGGAGCTCGGAGCGAATTTTAATGAATCAAGTATAATATGTCATTGATCTCTACGAGAACGATTTGCCGTATCATTTTTAAATTTTGATACGCAATCAAATTCACGGTTTCACACATGACATCGAAATTCAAACTAAGAATTATATTTCCGAAAAAAAATAATCTCTCTCTAGTTCGTTTCCCTCAAACGTCAAGTTGCGACATACGGGAAGAAACTCTCCAACGTCTCGAATAAATATAATAAAAGAACACCTTTCCTTCGGATACTTCACCTTTTCGAGCTTCTGTCACCTCGATATCTGTCATCGTCGGTATCGTCGTTAAAGTCGGAGGTCGTAGGGAAGGCGACGACACATACATATACGTACATACGTGAAGGTATCGCCGATAAAACGGCGCGGCGTGCATCATCAATATGGCGGCGAATCTCGAGGAGGAGCAGAGTTTACGCGAGTGCGAGGAATACGTTCAGCGACACAACATCCAACAAGTCCTGAAAGACTGTATAGTGCAACTGTGCGTAGGCCGGCCCGAGAACCCGATCTCCTTCCTGCGGGAATACTTCCAGAAGCTGGAAAGGGTACGTAATACGTCAATTGTGTTTCTCCGAGGCGAGACCCTCGCCGAGACGTCGAGTCGACGTGCGTCGCGAATTAACCTGACTCCGAACGAGAGAGATACGCGTCGAGAAAAGAGAGAGAGAGAGAGAGAGCTTCTCGCGAGTCTCCTCGTCCGGGAGACGTCGCGATCCTGCGCCCTGCTTTCCAAGATCCTGACGAGAGGACATAAGCGCTTCTCCGACGACAGTGACAGTATGACGTTGACAGTGACGTGACTCGCGGACCAGGAGCAGACCGATCATCTGGCGCTCCGAGAACGCGTACGTACCTCTTCTCCTGGGAGATATCCTCGTGACTCTCTCTCTGGGTTGGTGTGAATTTTTTATCAATTTGTTGTGCAATTTTTGAGGCTAAAATGACATTTGTGAGAAAATAGCAACAAGCTGTGTTTGTGTCGTAAAGGTACTTTTAATATGTTATTATATTCTCCTGCGCGTTATTAAATCGATTGATTGTTTGTCGTGAAAATTTAGTTAATGTAGTATTCGCGATAAATATGTGGAGAAACGTCATTTTTATTGCATCTCTCTTGCGTGTGTAAACATTGTAATTTCTGGGAAACGTTGGACGTGGAAAATAATGTCGCGTTATCTCGGTGTATAAATGACAATCATTAACGTAATCATAGTTTGAAATTCTTGAACGAGTTATTTATATGTAAACGTTCTGTAAACAATTTTTCTCTTATCGTTCCGCGAAACGTTGACATGTTAAATAATATTAGTTTATCGATTATGGATAATATTATAGCTTACATGTGCAGCAGTAAGTGCTGCCATCTTTCAAATGTTCGTATAATTATGTTATCAAATTGTAGAATGCCTGTTTTATCGATATACGATCATTGTGAAAAATGACAGGTGCCTGACATGTCAATATAATTATATAATCAAGGTATATATATATATATATATATGAATATGTTAGAAATATTGTGTCATTGCACTTTCAATTTATAATTTTTCGCTTCTCTCTCTCTCTCTCTTTTTTAAAGTATTTTTTAATATACCATTTTTAATACAAAAACAACTCTAAGCGAAACGTTGACATTTAAATGTTGCTTCTGAAAACATTCTTAGACGAATAATGGAATAAGATACAACATACTTGTTTATTATCTCAGCACTCTCGCAAAAATGAAGTGAATAAAGTATTAGGAAATTCTAGGCTTTGAAGAATCATACATATAACATTTCATATAAATTTAGACTTGATTAATATAATTTTATGTATATAAAATTATTTATATATATTTGTTATTTATTGAAATTATATATACATATAAAATTTTATATATTATATAATTTTATATATCCAGAGAGTTGATATATAATCATGTACACGTTATTAAAATTATATATAATTTTTTTATGCACTACATAAAATTATATGCATACAAAAATAATATAATTTTAATAAACTGAATATTTGAGAAAAATTGTTTATTCGTGACTAATTAATGCACGTGTCTTTCGCGAAACGTATATCGAACTCATCCGTGATGCAATTAAAAGTTTGAGGAAGTTGGAGACGAACGGACGTTCCTATATCAATCAACGTCCCCGGCAAAACACATTTCTCAAATTATACCTGTGTGTTTCAGCATGCCGTGATTCTTGATTCGTATAGGTTTCCTCGAGACCTTTTGCTACTCCGTTACCTTTCCCATTTAACGTTACATGGCAATTACCCTTGGCGATTCGTGCCACCCACGCGACGCGTATACTCGCGAAAATCCGAAGGCTCGTCCAAAATCGACGCGCGAAAGAAACGAGGGCCAAAAATAAGCGATAGCCGCTGACGTAAAAACTATCGTCGACGCAACTCGAACGTAAAAAACGCGCGAATCCGGCACGCGAATTTTATATATATTATTTTATTATATCATACAGATTATATATAATAAAAGACATATACTACACAGATTTCTCTTAGAGTTTGTAATATGGTATTGGAAGAATTTTTATAAGAATTTTTCTGATTAAATATTTATCACAATAAAAAATATTAATATGTACGTAATAAAATTTACTATGTATTTATTAATATTTTTTATTGTGGTAAATATTAACCAGAGATCTCTTCCAATACCATATTATCCCACAATTACCATGATTTTTCGGGTAAATTGTAAGAGAAATTTCTTTCCGTGTATATATATAAATTTTACTTATATATTTATAGATTGAGAATTCGTGAATGCACGCTCCAAAATAATTTGCGAGAAATTCTTATATAAAAAAATACGTTTGGATCCAAACATATGAAAATGATAAATCTCAGAATTTCATTATTATTCTCGCGTAAATATCTAATTGTTATTTTATTTTTATTAAACATATATGAACGGATTCATCAAATACAATGTAATATTTCGTATTTGCTCTTTGCGAAGTTATGTTTACCAGACCGCACATGACTGTGCGTAGGCTGTGAAGGCCATTTCGGAGGCAGGAAGAAAAATAGCACATGAAATATCGTTGTTGCGCGAAAAGAATCAATAAAAGAACGAACGGTTTCGTCACACGAGCTGTCACATTTTTTCAAAAATCTCTTTTAAAATATTAGCTTCATCGAACATTAAATAATGTAGTATGTCGAGCTTACGAGATGATTTATGTGTATTTTATATCAATATTTATTTTTTTTTTTTTCACCAAGACGACATATAATATATCTTTATTTATCTCTCTCTCGCAATTCATAAGAAATTAAAATGTATTAGTAAGCTTTAAGAAAAATGATACGTGTAATTTCTCCCAGAAAAATAAAATACCTGGGCACTTCATCTCTCTCTTTTTCTCTCGTTCAAATATTTAGCTGGAAATCTTAAGACACGTCTCTATTCCTATAATATCGGATTTATAAGGTCATAGGATATATATTCGATCGAATGTCTCCGTTATCGCATGTGTCAATCAGTGTCAATGTGACAGTACCGCAGCCACTGGTGCGGTGCAACGTCAATGCAGCTGTCAAACGGAAGGCGAAGATACGCGGATCTTCGTCGTCGCATGTTTGCCTTCCGTGCTTATGCAGTAATATGCGACAAATATATTGCGCGTGGGAGAAAGAGGGATAGGACGCATTAGACAGAGAAGATGAAAAAAAGAGTGAAATTTATTCCGGAATAGAAATCCCTCCGGCATACAAACAGCGAAGAAGCGTACGACGTCTGTGGACGAAGAGAATAAAATAATCGCGAGAGAGTTGGTCGAAAAAAGGCACCGAGGAGCACATAAATTTGACGTATGGGAGCGAAATAGAAAAGATGAGAGACGTAAAAAGAATATAGCAGGAGCGCACAAATGACTTTCGACATAACAGAAATAAATAATGTAAAAACCAATCTCGAAATGCCTTTTAGTAGAATTAAATAAAATTAATTGAAGAATCGGATTTCTTGCTGTCCGGAAAAGTCGTACTTTTTCAATTATTCGTAATTAGAAAATTGTTTCAGTAAAAAAAAAGATTTTAATTTCATAAAAATTTCTTGCAAATAAAATCTCTACATTCCTATATATTATATATAAAAGATTATAACGCATAAGGATGGTTCTCTCTAACAAAAATTCTATGATATGAATTATTTCATGAATAAATGGATAAAATTAATATTATTAACATATTAATAAAATTGGTAAAAGATAAAGAATATTATTGAAGTTAATAACTGAACAAGCAATAAAAATTCTTTACATTCAGGAAGAGACATCTTACTAAGAAAAAAAAAGAAGCAGCAAGATGTTGAGAAGGGATGAGAAGTATGTATGCAAAAGAAGAGAGAGAGAGAGAGCGCAATATAAGGGCATCTGATCTAAACATAGAATACGCTCGAAATATAACGGAGGAGCAACCTTATAGCTGAGAAAAAAAGAGAGAGAGAAAGAAATAGATCACACAAGAATGATGTGCGTTAAAAGCGCAGCAGGCCACAAAAATGTATGGAAGACCAAGTGAGTTTATAGTCGTCGCCATTCTTCCTTCACCCTTTCCGCGTTTTGACGCCAGTTTTCTTCTTGACGTCGTCGCCAGGAACGGTGGGTGGTGCTTCTGAAATTATGATAATATTACTAGACGCGTGATATTATATGTCTGGTCGTTTTTCGCGATGACTCCGGGATAAGGAATATAAATTGACGTTTCGCTAGTTGATAAGAATAAAGTTGCCGCAAATAAAAAATGAGGAGATAAACAAAATTCTAATCAAATTCTCTCTATAAAAGATGAATTATATTAATAAGTAAATATTAATTATTACTATTAATGAAATTATTAACCGTGAATTATAAAGTTGGTAAAAATTTATAAAAGAAATATTATGGAAAAAATGCATGTATATCTGATTATACACAGAGAGAATTTTCTTTTGTAATTTACACTGAAAATCATGATAATTGTGGAACAATATGATTGGAGTAATTTACACAAATTTCTCTGATTAATATTTACCACAATAAAAAATATTAATATCTGCCACAGATATAAAATATGTTTGATTAATGATTTTATTATGTACATAATTTGCTATATTATTACTTTTATTGTGGTAAATATTTAATCAGAGAAACTCATAAAATTCTTCCAATACCATATTGTTTCACGATTATCATCATTTTCAGGGTAAATTCTCTCCGTGTATATGTATATATGGTATGCAATTTTTTTCTCAATCACATATTTTATACAATTCTTAATTAAATAAAGAATCTAGGTTCTAACAAAATTCTATAATACAAATTATATTAATGAGTGAATAAATGAATAAATAAATATGAAATTACTAAGTAAATATCAATTTATACGAATTATATTAGCAATGCAACATGCAATAAAAGATAAAGCATTGAAGAAATACTTGAGCAAAAGTTCATATATAATTATATATTTAAATCTTAAATACACAAAGTTTCTTGCTTGAATAATCACATTTTGTTTGAATAAATACGTATATAGTACA